CTTTCGCCCGCGATAACGTACAACGCGAAAACGTACGAAACGAGATACGTTTCGATCGAACGATTTAAACGTCGTATTTCGTAACCTGACAATGATGAAACTGGATAATTACGTTGACAGAGAGTTTTTCGCACGATGGAAGAATATGTACAGTAACGCGCGCGCGCTAATAACTACCGTCTAAAAATTCATAATAAAACCGACAATTGCGGGACTTGGAAACGTTACTAAACTCTTTTATCAATGTTTCTAGTTATTAACGCAACGAATTACATTTGTATTATTTGTTTTTATAATAGCTTACCGATTTCAATGTATTTACAGATAATTGTTAGCGGTTGTTTATTCTGTTGCGGTATAATTAGTGTACATTGCGATGTCTTCTTCACGATCGAAAGAATTTTGAGGATGTTTTCTGATTTTATCGTTTTCCGAGGAACCATGACATTTTTAATATTAATCCTAATATTCGAAGCTTTTTAGTAATTAATTTCACAGCTACGGGTTTAATGATCGTTTTATACAGAGTGTCCCAAAATTATTGTACAAGCAGGAAACGAGGGGTTTCTGAGGTCGTTTGAAGTAACTTTCTCCTTAGCGAAAATGCAATCCGCTGCTTCGTTTACGAGTTATTAACGAAAAACAGTGACCAACGAGAGGCGAGATCAGCTGCCGCGAGACGGTCGAGCCAATCAGCGTAACTGAGCTTCGTGCGCTCGTTGGCTTGGCCGCCTCGCGTCAGCCGAGTTCGCCTCTTTATTGGTCACCGTTTTTCGTTGATAACTCGTAAACGAAGCAACGGATTACATTTTCGCTGCGGAAGAAGTTACTTCAAATGACCTCGAGAACTCCTTATTTCTCGCTTGTAACTCAGCTGGGAAACAAAAATGGACAATTTGGAAAGAGGAGGTACGATTATTCGAGCCGGCTCGTTTTTATAGTTGTTGACGATCGGTAACTACAAAAATAAGCCGCATGGCTCGATCGTACCTCCTTTTCCTAAATTGTTTATTTTTGTTTCCAAGCCGAGGGTCAATTAGAGAGAATTTACTGTATTTTGGATTTAAATCTAAATAATGTACTAAACGAGTCAAATTACCACCATAAAAGTGTCATCAAAAGTCTAATCCATAAATACTATACCAACCGAATAATTCAGATTTTATCTAATGGTCACTTTCGACAACAAAAATCGCTCTAGCAATCTTTGTTTGCATAAAGAGAATATACAATTTGGAGAAATTTATTTTTCAGCAGTTCTACAGACAACAAATCCTTGTCAATAACCACCAGCTCATCAAGAATGAAACTCACGTTCTTCAAATATGGCGAAACTACCATAAAAGGGTTACGTAATGATTTTCTCGTTACCCGAGTTCTCAGAGGATCGAGATCGACCGCGGGTTCCAGGCTCGAGGTTCTCCGCTTGGGAATCGTTCATTTCGGGGTCATTTATATGTGAAATTGATCACGGGACAGTCCGATTCCTCGCTGATTCGCGCAGCTCGTCGTCAAATTGCGATCGGGCTAATAGCAACAGAATTCGGATGATATAACGGACATTGTTCGTTTGCACGTAACCGGTAGAACAATTACGAATCTATTCGGGCAAGGGTGCACTCGAGAGGCAATCATCTCTCGCTGGTGCGCCAAAGAGAGAGAGGGAGAGAAAGAGAGAGAGAGCGCGCGAGAGTGAAAGAGAGAAGGTTGGGTAGAGAAACGTAAATAGGGAGAAAGAGAGAGAGAGAGAGAGAGAGAGAGAGAAGGAGAAATTTTAACAAAGAGAAGTAGAGAGAGAGAAAGAGAAGGAGAAAAAGAAGGAGAAAGAGAGAGAAAGAGAGGGAGAGAGACTTACAAGCAAGCCTTTTGGGGTGTTCGCCTCCTAACTAAAAAGTTATGATTTATGTCAGTCATCCTTATCTCGGTGTAAGCTGTCATTAAAACACTATAATTTTCATTTAATGCACTGTAAAAATATATTTCGATTTTTCAGATATCTTTTATTTTAAACATATTTCTTTGCATGATAAAAATTAGTAATTTAATAATGTTTATTAATGAAATAAAAAAAGATGTTTCTGACCATAATTCCATGCTCTTCCAGTAGCTCTACACATGATTGTGAGCCCCCTATTTCCGTGTACATAATGTACGCTTCGTGCGACGTAAATCACATCAATAATTAATTTATACGCAAATCTTCAGCAATCGTTTCTTACGATTTTTGACAAGACGTACTAATTAAATTCTTCTGATAGGTAAACATAACGAAGAAAAATAGATCATCAATTTATATATAACACTTTTCTCTTTCTATACATTTTTAATTCGGAAGCACGGAAATTGGGACAGGCACGGAAACTGGGACATCTATCCTATTAAAAGAAACTAAGAATTCACAGTCTATCTATAACATATCTGTGAACAAAAGCAATCGGTGGCGAACACCTACAAAAAAATTCTTCCTTATTAAAGGGATAGAAAGAGTTCCAGAGATAGAGTGAACAGAGAGAATCGGAGAAAAAGAGAGAAATAGAGAACGTTGAAAAGAAGAAGAGAGAAAGGGAATTGGAGAAAAGAAAGAGAAAGAGAGAGAGAGACAGAGTTGGAGAGATGCATAGATAGAGGGAGAGAGGGAGAGAGAGAGAGAGAGAGAGAGAGAGAGAGAGAGAGAGACAGACAAAGTTGGAGAGATGCATAGAAAGAGAGAGAGAGAGAGAGAGAGAGAGAGAGTTGGAGAGATGTAAAGAGAGAGAAAGAGAGAGAGAGGGAGAGAGACAGAGTTGGAGAGATGCAGAGAGGGAGAGAGAGGGAGAGAGAGACAGAGTTGGAGTGATGCATAGAGAGAAGAAGAGAGACAGAGTTGGAGAGACACAGAGAGAGAAAGACAGAGAGAAACAGAGTTGGAGAGATGCGTAGAAAGAGAGAGAGAGAGAGAGAGAGAGACAGACAAAGTTGGAGAGATGCATAGAATGAGAGAGAGAGAGAGAGAGAGAGTTGGAAAGATGCATAGAAAGAGAGAGAGAGAGAGAGAGAGAGAGACAGACAGACAGGCAGACGGAAACAGAGACAGAGTGGGAGAGATGGAGAGAGTTGAAGAGATCGAGATAATTGGAGAGAAACGGAGAGAGATAGTTAGAGAGAAAGAGAAAGTTGGCGAAAGAAGAGAGGAGAAAGGAGAGAACGAGAATAGGTTAGAGGAGAGAAGCGTCGAGAGGTCTGGACAGAAGCAGCAGTTGGGGTCCGGCCGGAATTGCAACGTGGTTTGCCTGTCGAGATGTTAGCTTTTCGTCAAAGACCGCTATTAGTATGCAGTTAGTATTACAGAACGGTGTATCGGGATACATGGATGATACATCGCCATCTATTACCGATTCCCTGGCATGTGAACCGTCGACCCTCCACGCGGAGACTGTATTTCCACGGTAGATTGCTTTGTTGGACGATCGATAGAACAGGGTCCGTCGATTCGTACCAATAAGACGATTAGTCTTGCCCACGGAACACCAGCCTTGCCCGGGAATCATTGTGCGAGCATTCCGGCCTAATCTACCATACGCGGTCGACGAGCCCTTCGCCACTCCATGGGGAATTCTTCGAATACCTCGGCAAATACAGTGCGCTAAGAAAACACGACAGTCAACTTCGCTGTTACCAACGCTATTAAGATATTTGTTTACGGTTTTACGCGCCATTTGTCGAGTTAGGATTAGGTCAGCGTTTCATGAATCTCAGGGAACCTCGCCAGTGGATGGAATTTATAAGAAATCTCGGAAGCTCGCTTTGATGTTTGCACTTGTAATCGAAGTATTTTCTACTAAAATTGTACCAATACTATGAAACATTATATTCTACAAAATTATGCGTACCACGTGTTTCATTTGAAAACTTTAAATCGAGATTTCTCGAAAACAACGCATTTTTGGGAAAAATATTAAATGCAAAAGTTACTCGATTTCAAGGATTTTTTCGATTTCTTGGTGATCGCTTTGATGTTATTTAGAGGGAATCTTTGTGTTCTGAAATGAAAACCTATGCTTTAATTTACAGGTTTTTTTTCCCACGCGAAAAAAGAAGAAATATTTGAGATGAAGAATTTTTCAAATGAACACTCTATATAGAAAATATTCTTTTTACTAGCAATATTGCTTTCATGTCAAACCGGATTGTGTAATTATATTCAACAACTTAAAACTATAGTACATAAAACTTCAATTCGAAGAGTATTGATAAAATTCCACTTGGATAAAATTGTAAGAAACTATTGGTAAAGATAGTGTTGCGGGTGAAATAATTGAACAGATTAAAAATATTTAATACGAAAAATAGGTAAAACCTCCTGCAATTTATACCGCTTTAATTATTCGATAATGTAGATTTTTACATAGATTTCTTCAAATTATAGATTGAGTCTGTCTACGATTGTTTTTCTGTTTGTGATCAAAGTACAACAGGCACATTTTTTAACATTTCTTAGTCTTGTTGCATTTCAGAAGTCTTTTTTGAGCCATCCATATTTTTATTTCTACAACAGTATAACGATTGTGCAATGTCACTTTCTACAGGGTGTCCAAAAAATGTCTCGCAATCCGGAAATGTGGGGTTCCTGAGATCATTCGAAGTAACTTTTTTCTTAGCGAAAATGCAATCCGCGGCTTCATTTACGAATTATTAACGAAAAAGGCTGACCAATGAAAAGCAAGCTCGGCTGAAGCGAGCAAGACCAACGAGCGCACGACGCTCAGTTCCGCTGATTGGCTCGGCCGCCTCGCGCCAGCTGATCTCGCCTCTCATTGGTCACTGTTTTTCGTTAATAACTCGTAAACGAAACGGCGGATTTCATTTTCGCTAAGGAAAAAGTTACTTCTAATGGCCTCAAGAACCTACTATTTAACCCCCCACCCTGTATAATATCAAAATAGTTTCATGCAGGTAGATACGCAAAATAAATAATTCATCGTAAAATCATAATGTATAATTATAACTTTTTGATGTTCCAGTTGCCTAAGTCCGAGATCAGCGTTCTTCTACGAGTTTCCACCTAACGGTAAGTTATTGCACGAAAAAATCTCGTACGTTATTTAATTATATTAATAATTAGGAGAGACTGCATAAAGTTTTCTGCTGGAATTCGAAGCAATGCCGAACGATAAAATTATAAGGTTTAAAATGTAAGAACTACGTTCATTAAATCAGAGATACCTACAATACAGAATTTTCCTTGCATAATTCTCGCCTGGATCCCACCGAATAATTCATTGAAACGTTCTATCACGTGGCGGAGATACCAGAAGATCTTTAACAAAATTCGCTCGCCCTCCCGTTTGACCTGTACAGAAGTTTAACGCGCGTCATTCCATGAATACATCATGCGCCAGCGAAGACTGTAGTTTCATATATTTTTCAGCGCATTCGTCTCTCTTTGACAAATTAATTTTCTGCCCCCTCCCTGCTCCCCTCGAAAATGCTACACTTCAAAGTTAAAACGAAGGCGGAAAAAAGAACGCGGCAGGATGGATACGCGTCCGAGTAACTTTCCGGCGCGCATAGCAAAACAAGCATGATCTCGCCCATATAATTTCGACCACGTTAAATCAGTTAACTCGAAAAGTTCCTGTTCCATTCAGCCTTTCAATTTGCATCACGATGTTCCAACGCGACGGCGGCGTCGGCGTCGGCGTCGGCGGCACCGTAATTCGTATCACATTATTAATGCGGCACCATTGTAAACCAAACCGTTATGGACATCCGTGGCGCATTAAGTGGCCATGAAACAGGGGAATAGACAAAGAAAGTAGAGAGATCTGGCCGCCTGTGAATGCAGTTCGGATTATTTAACGCGCCAACTAATGCTCGCCGCGATGCATGCATTCGCGCCGCCAGCTATAGACGGTTATTCCAAGAGAGAGCATTGCTTGTTCCTGCTTTCGGTTCCTGGCCAAATATACTGCCCGAGCCGCCGAAAGCTAGACACAAAAGCGCCTTCATTATTTTTAATGGCACGCGAAATGTTTTCACGCGAATCATTTTCAACTCGACCAGATGCGGAAAGTGATTCGATCGAAGCGATATTTTTGGAAATTCCGAAGCTTTCGAGTCTTTGAGACGGATCACAGAACTTTTAGCGCATTCGATCGGCCGCTCATTTTCTAATATTTAGAAACTACTAGTCGGGAACAACGACAAAAAATCGGACAACGAATAGGACATTTTCAGGAATTTATGACAGGAGAATAATATAGTCCTAAATAAATTTTTATTATAGACTTTGATGCTCATTAAAAATCGGGTTGACTGACATGTTGACAAAGAGAACCGCAGAAAACCCAACTCGCGAAATTGTCTAAAAATGATAACCACAAATGATTCTGAAAGCGTACAAAATCGTTCATCTGCACACAGTTACAATTTTTCCGAAAGAGAATTTTTCAAGAAAAATTATTGTGGTTCGCGATTATAATTTTGTAACTTTCAACCAGTCGTTCGCATGCACGCCGAGAATGGTGGATTCTAGGCCGCATTATGAGACTCGTCGTGTAACAATTTTTATAGGACAAGCACTGGAGTCGTATCAGAAGTTATGCGTGCATATTGCAGCATACTGTGCATACTGTCTAGCAGTATTGTCGCAGAGTGTAGTATCATCCGCGAGAAGGCTGCAGTCCTTATGCAGTCTTCGCCACGCGCCTTTAGATCCTCTGCTAGCGGCACATTATATGCGTGCAGCTGCCTTCGCATATATCTAGATTCTGCACTCTACGCTGCAATGATATTCTATACCTTATCCGTCTACGATACACGCAGATAAAGTCGCCCATAGAATATGTGTTCATACGGCTAAGCTTGAATTAGATGTAAGCTCGGACAAAGGGACAAGTATTCGCGGTTAGAACTTGCTAACAACACTTGTTTGTGGCACGGCGCACCTGGACAAATTTTCTTCGACACGAAAATAAAAACATTATTTGAAATATTTAATTTCATTTTATTTGAAGTATTTTATTTATTCGCAACGCTGTTATTTGATAATATTAATAATATCGATCCATTTGAAATAATTTCAAATAATGAATTATTTCGTTATTCGTTATTTCATAGATGACATATATATCGCATATATCTCCAATAATTTTTCCTTATTAATTTTTCAACAATTTTTTAAGAAACGCTTAACTGTTGAACTTCGAATTTAAAACAACTATGAGAAAATGGTAAATCGAGTGATAAAATCGCCAAGATGTTACTGAAAATTCTCGACTATTTTTTGCTAAGCAACGAACACAAAATAATTTTGGTAACAAGTAAATGAATTTCGACAAATGTATTGCATTTTTTTTTTATTAAATTATCGCTGTTTGAAAATCTCGGTCTCTCGAAATTGCCAGAAAGATCAGTATACTACACAGAATCACGTTCCAAAGCAGGGAAAACTATTTTGCTTTCGCAGCTACACGAACGACACATCCATTAAAAGTTAATCTTATTGTCAGACGGGCGTTAATTCCTTTCTGCTGTCACTGCTCAACACAATTAAACGACACCGCCTGCGACGTCTTTATTCCTGCGCTCCGCTTTTTCCCACGTAGCCTGTTATTTTCACTTGTTTCGCTTTTTCTTGAAAGATCTTTAGAATTTTTTAAAACACGGGCCTCGCCGTAGTTCCGCGCAGTTCTTTCTTCAATTTTGCGCTCCTTTCGGCGAAAGCTTCTGTTTTACACGGCGGTTCCCCCAATTCTATAAGCACGTTAGCGCGAAACCGCATGATATAAATGTCCTGTTACCCCGGGTTACTCGCGTTACCATTGCAGTCGTTTATTCCATTCGTTGTGTCGCATACAGATAGTGTATAAATAAGTTTACTGCGTGAACAACTTTATAAAATATAAACACAAAAATTCCGGATAGCGAATAAAATTGTTCTAATTTTTATAAAGCGAGGATACGGCGGTTTTTATATTAAAATGGAATTAATGGTTCCCAGAAGCGAATAAATGACGTTTATATTCCTCGAAAGGTTATTTCTTCAGAGTTGAATGTTAATATTGTGCTTATAAAATTTTAATAGTTTATTATTATTATTAATTAGTTTATCCGTTTTAACAATTTCTGAAACAAAAATATATGTCCATTAACCCTGTGCTCTCGAGTGGAGAATTTACCACTAAAAATTGTTACATCGCATTTGAAAACAATTTTTACGTTGCCAAATTTGTTCGCATTTTTGCAAAACTGTTGTACGCGTCGCAAGACTCAATTTCGTGTGCACAGAATACACTAATAGTCATATATAAAGTGAACATACTGGGAGTCAGAAGAAGCTATTTCGAATTTAGGGTCGGAATGGCTTTGAATGCAAAGCGTTCGGCGTCATTGCGATGTTGACAGGATATTCATAATTTATAACGGTCGGGACCGAAGCTCGCGAATTCGGGTCAACACAAATCGCGCAAACGTTGTACTTCCGCGTCTGGCCGCTGTCAAATGCTCCGCCGAAATAATCGAACCCGCGTCTTTGCAGCTGAAAAGAAAATCGAGCAAATGCACCGTCATCGCACTCGAATCCACGCTCGATTTCCGCGGGTGCCGTGATAAAGTATAGAAGCCCCGGAACGTAGTTATGCCGAAGATAGACGTCGAGAACAGCAAATAAGATCACGAAGAAAGGACGCGCGGTGCCATTGGAATTTTTCAAGATATCGAAAAACACTTTAGATCCCATATTGGAGAGGCGTTTGGCACGCCGGCCAAAGGGGTTAGCTTTGATATTTCATTTCCATTGACTACGCCCGCCATTCTCGCCCCATCGGCCCCCGCTCTTCCCAACGTTATGAATGTATAATTAAGATCGCCCGCTCCTTTTCCGTCCTCTCCGCAGACATATGTATCTTTAACGACCGTACTTTCTTCGCGCGCCTTTCATCTCGCCGATATTTACATCGAGAGCACGCCGAATATAGCGGAAATCCTTTCAATTTTCGCCGAATATTCTATTCTGCCGCGTAAAACTATTCTCTTCAGAAAATTCTATTCACTTCGCTTGCGATAATTGTTTGTTTGTCCTCTTTTTAACATGACACGACAACGATGGCAAGCAAGAATTTGTTTAGACCTCTCACAATTTGTATTATAGCGTATGCTCGGAGTAAGAAAATTATTCATTTTATTATTCATCAAATTATTCATCAAGAAAGAGTCTGCAATTTGTGCAACTGTAAATTAAAAAATATGGAATTTGTGATTTTGACCGACACGGTAGGTTTTAGAGTTAAATATGTTGAAAGTGGACAATGAAACTTCGTTAATAAGTAAGTTGACTTCGAGTATTTGACAATAGCTGCTGGCAATGATCGTTGATTATCTACTTATTTCGACTGTATCGCATCTTACCATATCTTCGATTTACGTTCAAGTAAAGTATTCCATTGTCTCTATCTCATCGTTGTTATCAATTCTTACAAAAGTGGACAAATTTTAATCTATTCTTTACCTGTATTACCTCTAATGATCGGGTATCGTTAACAGAGATATATAATCTCATTTCGATACGAAATAAATATAATACAACAATATGTCATAAATATAACAAATAAAAATAATGTAGTAGATTGCATTGCAAAAGCATTGTTATATTTTGTTGAAGTTTAGGAAATTTACAGAATCTTGCAAGCTATACAATTTATTCATCTTACAACTTCCACGTCGCTAAACATTTTATTACATAATTTATCTCTGCGACGAGCTGTCCTTTCCCATTTGGAAAGCCCGTAAATCATCCGTTAAATCGTCGTTGTCGAAATTGCTAATCACCGCTATAAAGCGATAGTTTCCGTTCTCCTCGCGAATACGTCGCGCGTAAACGCCGTTGACGCAAGAATGCGTCCCGAACGACGCCTCTCCGACAACGACCGAAGGTAAGAGGCACCGTTGTCGAACCTGTTTGAACCCTTCGCGTTTGTTGCAGTGCATAGGTAACTACCGAATCCTGGCGCCGGATCTAACCTAAAATTCGTGAGGCTTACCAGAATGCACAAACACATTCGCCCGGGT